ATACAAGAATAATAGAGGCAATATTGAATGTCTTCTTAATTAATTGTCTTTTTTTCTTACAATACAATCAAAATGAACTGACAAGAGTATCAATAAGGAACTGAAGCGATAAGCAGTATCAATAACAGTACGGATGGATAAAATCAATACCCATCACTACCGTCCGCTAATATTAACCACTAAAAGGGCCTCCGTGCGTCGATTTGCGATGGTATTTGACAAGTTGAGAGTGAGAACTGATTGGTTATGGAAGATAAGAGGAGTAGGGAACAAAAGGGAGAAGGAGACTCAAGAGACACTGGGAAACATACTGGAGCACGGGCACAGGCTTCATCAAAGTCAAAATTCTAACTTTAATCTCAGAAAAAAAATGAAGTTTAAAATCTTTAGGAAGAACTTTAAAATCAGAATTCTGACTTTACAGGTGTTGAATACGAAATAGCTAACAGTGTTTACCTGAGGACCTGAGGGGAAACCGGTGGGTGGGTGCTACATTTCTGCAACAACGTTATCAGCGGTAACTGCCGTATAGGCTCAGTGCATAGCAGCGGCCGTGAGCTAGCCAGTGGGGCAAGCTCACATGCACTAATAAAGCACATAGCAAATAGTTATTTGCTGCCATGCTCTGATTATGGTATAGAGAACCTTTAGCAGAACTAGCTGACATTATTTTGTATACTTGGATACTTTTATTTTCTGTTAACCCTCCTGTCCTGTACCTTTTTTTGTATGTAGCTGTGGTGTACCCATCATGCCCCAGAGGACATCCCTGAATGCCTGAATAAGTCCCTGAATGATCTCCAGCTGGACTACCTGGATCTTTACCTTGTGCATTTCCCTGTTGCCCTAAAGGTTAAGCATATTATCCAAATTTACAAAAGCAAACTATTTGTTTTTAAACACTTTAGAAAAAGGAGATCTTGAAAATCTACATTTTTTCAGAGAACACTGCTTGTAACTTGCGTGCCATCTGTGGAGGTCTGCGCCATGGTGCCTCGCACGTTTAAAGAGAGCTTAATTGTTTCAGTTTAAAGTCCAAGGGTCAACAAATTTTTTTTTAATATAGATGTAATACTTTACATGTCATTTCATAGAAGCATCTGTTTGACTTTGACCTTTACATTTCTTCCCAGAAAATGGGTGACGACCTTTTCCCAAAGAAGGACGGAAAGATGCTGACCTCTGACACAGACTATGTGGATGTCTGGAGGGTAAGATGCGTTACGAGGGAAGTAATCTGACTGAACCCAAAATGCAAAAAAACAGAACACTGAGATGGAGGGACGATGCAAATGTTGTGTTTGCAGGGGATGGAAGCCCTGCAAGCCTCAGGGAAGGTGAAAAGCATCGGTGTGTCCAACTTCAGCATCCTGCAGCTGGAGAGGCTACTTGCTCTGTGCAGGCTACCCCCTGCTGTCAACCAGGTACTGCAAATTTAACTCCTTTAGTGACGTAAGTGGAGGAAAGTCTGTACATTCATATTCCTTTATCCTTATACCTCCACACTTTATAAGTATGGACCCATGTCCCACATTTTGGTACAAGTACAAAGTGAGTGGTTCAACCTCATTTGGGTTGTCCTTATTAAATTAACTGCATTATTAAAGTTTTGTCTTGCCTTCATTTGCCAATAGAAAGTGGAAAAAGACAACAAGGCACAGAGGAGGCACTCTGGTTGGAAGTTGAATTTAGAATCCGTTCTTATGCAGGCCTGAAATGTAATTCCAGGATCAAGAATAAAAGCAGAATTTTTTTAAATGGCTTTACTTTATATTGCATTTTTGTAGTGGGACGATATGAGCAACATAGTATCAAACAATGATGCCATATAATGACACTGGACGATGGGTCTCACAATGATGTGATACAGTTTCATATGTTGTGATCCTATGGCATTGTAATTCATCATTATGATATCAAGATAAGAGATGAAAAAGTAAACATTTTAACAGCAAAGAATCCAGAATATTCATCTATGACATTATTAAATATCATTCAACTTGATGACTATGGACATTTGATGTCAACATATTGCATTACATGATGAATGATGTCAAGAATAGATATTCATGATGTTAGATGACACCATATACATGAGTTCATGCACAGAATTAATTGGAAATGTGTTAATGAAATGTAATTATGTGAGGATCTGTTCATGCAATGTAGGATGTGTTCATGCAATGTAATCATGTGAGAATGTGGTCGTGCAATGTAATGATGAGATCTGTTCATGCAATGTCATGATGTGAGGATGTGTTGGTGCAATGTAATTATGTGCTGTAATCACTTTACATCACGCAGTGGTGCAACTTCCATATTTCAACATAATGTAATGAATGACAGGTTGTGCACAGTTATTCAGCTTTTGTTTGGTGTTATATCATTCATAGATTGAGCTTCATCCCTACCTGGTGCAGACAGAGATGATAGAGTTCTGTAAATCAAAGAGCATCGCCCTGACTGCCTACAGTCCCTTTGGCTCGCCGCAGAGACCCCCAGAGATGTAAGTATCCCTCATACACTCCACTGACTCAGACTGGTGATTGAAAATGAATCAAGCACCTACATAATTCTGCTGATATCACATCTGACTATGCTCAGAGATCATTCTGTGATCCAAATTCGATTAAATTTGTTAGCTTAGTTTGCCCCAAAGAGGACACATTTATTTAGATCAACTTTGTGTTAGTTCGTATTGCACAGTTACAACCAAAGTAGAGTTTGTAAACAAGTCACATTACTCAGGATTTGTTTATTGTACATAAAGGTATCTGTCATCTTATAACCAACCCTTTGTCATCTTCACTCCATAGATTTCAGATAAATGGAGCTGTTTCCATCTTTTTATTTACAAATAGGATCAATCTTGGACATGAAGTCTAGGTTTAAAAAATAAAAATAAAAACACTGACATTGACATTGTAGAGGTTCCTGCGGCAGAACCCCTCCCTTATAACTGCTGACAGTCAATCAGAAAAGTTTTGCATTTTGTTTCTCAAAAAAGCCTTCTTGCACCTCCTCATGGAAGCTTCTCACAGTGGTTTGTATTTGATGTGTAAGTTACGATTTATCCAGAACCCTCATGTCATCTGATGAATTTCTATCTAATTTTTAACTACTTATTTACTTCCCTTTCTGTTTTTGTTTTCGATGATTTTGAATGCATTCTTAAAGTCTTATGTTAATGTTAAATATATATTTTTTGCCCTTGTAAAGTGCTTTGAATGGCCTTTTGTCTGCATGGTGCAATCCTGTGCTCTGGTCTTTTGTATCTCGCCTATCTCAGGTTCAGAGGAGTCCTTGATCCGCATAAGCTCCTGGAGGATCCAGTCGTAGCAGATATAGCCAAGAAGCACAGACGCAGCCCTGCACAGGTCAGCGTAGTCTACTGTGGTCTAAGTGTGTGTGAGTGTGTGTATTCCTTTGTTAGTAACAGCGGTACTCCCCCAGGTGTTGCTGAGGTACCATGTGCAGCAGGGTATTGCAGTCATCCCTAAGAGTGACAAGCCTCATCGCATCCTTGAGAACACAAAGGTAACACCTCTCCTCCTCTTACTGTTTCTGTCACTTAGGCTCACTCCTAAGAATTGTATTTTTATGACAATGGTGCGATCATTAGACATTGTTCAGTCTTTCGTCTGCAACTTGCTCCTACATCTGTGGTCCAACCATAGACTAGAGATAACAAGTGGACGTAGTCATCGTGACGTAGCCCATTGGTTTGTGGACTGCCGTTTAGAAGCCTCGAGTGCGGCAATTTCGCCGTCGCCATGTTTTTTTGCAACCAATGAACAGAAGTTATTATATTTGGAATGCGAAGGAGTGACGTGGAGACACCGTATACGGCTGACAGCGACCTGTCAATCACAGTAAGCCCGACCTAAAGCATACTCCGCTTTATGGTCTATTTGGCTCTAAATGGACCATCATTTACTAAATGAACATCATGCTGTATTGAAGAAGACTTGTTGACCAGTTTCATAAAGTATGAATACATCTCATCTTGGCTTTTTGTCTTTATGTTTGTATGGTACTTGGATTTACAGACCACACCGCACCGTTTATCAGACCACTAAATGAGACAAGAATTAGCATAGCTAGCTAGCGCACCCAGTCCTTCCGCGATCGTGTAAACCATGCTGCTAGCGTGGCTAAACAAACCCCTACAAAATGTTATAATACTAAAAAGTCCCTCTTCTCAGGATGCATACTGCCATCATCATTCGACACAACATGGTGTATTTCCCCTTAGAACGGCTGGTATATACACTGCACTGCAAAATAAAAAATAAAAATTGTCTAGGACTTAAAACAAAAAAAGATGAGCATCGGTATAGTTGTCTGTAAAAACACATTTGTCCAAATTAGTTTTGATGTTTGTGCAGATCTTTGACTTCAGTCTGACTGAAGAAGACATGAGAGCACTAAGAGGACTGGACCGAGGGTGGAGGGCCTGCATGCTTGAAGGGTAAGTGGACACACAGCAAAAAGGTTCTGCAAAGTGCTACTGTTCTCACAGTGATGACTGTTCTGCTTCTCAGAGTCAAGTCTCATCCGTACTACCCGTTCGTGTGAGGCTGTCAGGAGAGACAAGGCACACTGGATCTACTAATACCATGACAACCAACGAGACTCAAGACCAGCTACATGCAGTCTACCCACAGTATCAGTACTACATGCTGTGATTCATCAGTGCCTTGTTTGCATAATACTCAAGATAGAATGTGAAGACAAATCTTTCAAATCTCAATGAATGCGACTTAACAAATATCAGTTCGTCCATCAGCTCCTTAAGGTGGGGTGCCTAATTTTCTAATGTTTTCGTGTCATGAACGAAAAACTATGTTTGTGTTAACATCTGCATTTTAATTAAAGACAATTCAACAAAAATGCACAGTCCAGCAAATAATTCTGAAAAAAACTTTTTTTGTTACAATATACAATACATTATCTTTTTTTTTACATACACTCTACTATGTGAATTAAGGTAGTTTTGCTGGATGGAACATTTAATTGAATGTATTTGCGCTTTGGTGTCCAACAGAGTACATACACTTTAAATCTCTTCATATACACAGAAACACATGACATGACCCATTAACAGCGCATCACATGGTGGTGGCACACTGTGTCACCACGGAACAATGCCAATGGAAAGTCAATCAGGATCCTTTTTTTGTGGTGGACACGCAAATTAAATCTACGTGACTACGCAACGGTCAGAGGTAGTGATGTAGTATGATCGGTGAGTGGTTGAGGTGGATGGGTCAACAACACAGGTCTTTTAACCCTGAGATGTTGAGTAATGGTGAAGTTACATTTGTGATGTTTTTTGCTGAAATGTAATCTTGCGTTTCGTATTTCTGTGAGATCACGTTTAAATTAGGGATAAATGATAATTCAAATGAATATATTTCTGTACTCCAGAGGAAGTGGTAACAATGTATCTTTGTCAATTCCATCACTGTTAGTCCGGCAAAGCCGATTAGCCTTGGAGCCAGAATGATGATTATGAGGGACTCTTGGGATTTTTATGCCTCCACACCGCTTCAGCCGTGGCCAGAATGTCCGTCCGTCCCATTTTTTCGTGAATGTGATACCTCAGGAACGCCTGGAGGGCATTTCTTCATATTTGACACAAACGTCCACTAGCACAGAAGGTTAAACTAATTAAAATGTGGTGGTCAAAGGTTCCTTTGACCTCAAGCAACACGTTTTTGGCCATAACTCTAGAATTCATATGCTAATTGTGACACTTTCACCTAGCCCATATATCTGTCTATACAGTGTTAATACTCAGGCATGCAGTGTGTAACTCAACATTATGTCTTGCAGGAGATTTATAAATGAAAGCAGAGTGAATTCTTCTTTTCTCTCCCATCCCCCTTACTAATCAGATGTTCTTAACCAAAAGACCCTCTAGTTAATTCAGTGGTGACCGTTATTGCCACCGCTCTGCCTTTGTGATGCTGATACCCATTTAAGGGACATAACAAAATATGTTTCTTCTATTAAAAATATTTATCAGAAATATTTTTGGACAAAGAGAAAGTCCTTCATTACTGCTGCTATGTGGGGTGTAATCTTCCTTTCATCCTTTGTCCTATCTTCTTCATCTCCGAAGAGGGTGATGATGGTGAGGGCTTCACTGTGCAAACGCATGCCGAGGCCCCTGCGATACATTTCGGCAGATCGGGTCCTCTGGACCATGAGCCCTCGTCAGGGTCGTACACCTGAGTGGCCCTGGAGAACACCATGCTCTCCCAGCTGTAGCCGCCGAGCACGTAGATCCTCCCCACCCACACCGCAAGCCCCGCCTCGCTGTTGGGCAGCAGCAGCGGCGCCACTCGCGTCCACTGGCCGCTGCATGGGTCGTAAGACTCCACCTGAAGGATGTCGAAGCGCTCCGTGGTGTCCTCGTGGTCGTCGCTGCCCCCGATGGCGTAGATGAGGTGGTTGGGGGAGGCCATGCAGTGCCAGCCCCTCGCTAGGGACATGGCCCGGCGCTTCACCCACACCTCGCTTTCCTGTGATGGATCGAAGCTCAGCACGTCGCGGCGGTATGGGCCGATCTGGTAGTCGTGACCACCTGAGATGTAGACTACACCGCGGTGGACTGTCCCAGCGTGGCCGTAAGTGGACCTAGGAAAGACAGAATACAAAAAGGATGTAAAAAAAAAAAAAAGTATGTTCTTAATGATACATTCTCAGGGGACCATAAATGCCAAACTTCATGGCAAACCCATCCGTGAGAGAAATGTCCCCATAAAACAGCAAACCCAGTGGCGACACATGTCCTACCTGGGCAGTCCTGCCACGTAGGACCAGCAATCCTCAGCGGGACAGTAAACTTCCACAGAGGACAACGCTCCGGTGTCGTTCCTCCCACCCACGGCGATCAGGCAGTCTCCCACTGCCCCCAGGTGAAAATCCACTCGCCGCTCATTCATCGGGGCGCCCTGGAAAAAAAATAACATCATACCGTCACTGTGCATGGGCGACTTGGCCGATAAAAGACAAGCGCCAACAAACATAAGAGAACCATGGGGACTCCTCCTTTACTCTCTACAGAAATGTACATTTCTCACAGTACCCTGGCCCACTGGTTGTGGCGGGGGTCATATCTGTACAGCAGGTTGCAGGCGGCATCTCCGCCGTTGTCCCTGGACAAGCTTCCCCCGGCGGCGAAGATGAAGCCCCCCAGCACTGCCAGGCAGTGGTGGCTCCGCTTGGCCGGCAGCTCGGTTTCCACCTCCCAGATCCCTGTTTCACCATCCAGCCGGCAAACATTGGCGCTCAGCTCCTCGCCACGTTCTGACACCTTGAGGAGTAAAAAGAGAGGAGGGTTAAGCGATCAGGCATGGTTATTAAAAAGCAAAAAAGTGTGCCAGTCACTGTCTATTTGTTTAATGGTTATGAGACATTACAAGGTCACAATTTGAGACACAATTAGTCAAGTTTTTAGGGAATCAAAGCTGCATTTGCATACTTTGTCTTTTTTACGTTTAGTTCATACTGCAGTTGCCCTAACAAAGTAGGTACTGAGGCATCCGGTATGGGACATACATCCTCATAACATGGCACCTTGACCTTGTTGCTCATACGTCTGCTAGGCAAAGGATTGTGGGTCAGAACAGCCTGAAAAGCGGGCTACCGGACATTGTAGAACATCCTGGTATTTTTTGACATTCTATGTATTGTGACAATCTGTTTCTGGCACACTAAATATTATGGTAGTATGGTAGTATAGTAGTATGGGTATGTGAAAGCACAGCAAGTCTTTATTTCTGCAGCTAAAATCTGACTCGGGTTTCAAGTCAGCACAGAAAGTGACAAATATTCAAGCAAAAACAAATTAACCAAAAATGTCAAGAGGATGATACCTTGTCATATAAGAGTCTACTTTGTGGACTAATAACAGATTAACTGTAAATAGCTACATCGTATCCTAAAAAAATTTAAGTCATCGTTATCACAGGTGAGCCATCACCTGTGATGTCTATATATGTATATATATATAGACTATATACATAGTCTCTATCTAAGATGTGGATGTAGTCACTCATTGGTTTGTGGCCGTTTTGAAGCATCGAGTTTGGCAATTTCGCCTGTCAATCACAGTAAGCCCACCCTAAAGCATACTCCACTTTATGGTCTATTTGACTCTAAATGGACCATCATTTACTAAATGAACATCATGCTGTATTGAAGAAGACTTGAAACTAGAGCTTGAGACCATAAACTCATGTTTACAATGTTTACTGAGGTAATAAATCAATCAGACTTCTTTTGCAACCAGTCCTGCTGGTCAGAGGAGAGAAGTTTTAAGACACTTCCGCATTTGCATCACTCCCAGAGGTTGCTGCTTGGTCTGTACCTCTCCTCCGATCAGCAGCAGCCGCTCTGCTCCCCCCCTCAGCGTGGTGCGTCCTGTTTGCAGGAGCGGCTGGGCGCTGGGCCTGGCGTGGTACCCCAGGGCTTCCTCCACCAGGGCCTTGCAGCCGGCCTCCTTCGTCGGAAGGGCCCGCAGCGCTGGCAGCACCCGGTCCGCCAGCTCCCCCGCCGGCATCAGGGGGAAGCGGATGTTGGAGAGGAGCTGCGTGGCGTGGGCCGTCCGCTCGGGGGCCTCGCCTAGCCACCGCAGGGCGGCCTGGAAAAGCTCCTGCTCACTGTCATACTGGACCTGACGACGAAGAGAGGAGCGGCTTCTTGTAAATCTTTGCCCCCAAAAGTCAAGAATAAACTTACAGTGTCAACATCTGAACAACGCGGTGTTGTTTACCTGGCCACTAGAGAGGTAGGACGCGAGTTTGTGTGGCGGGGTGCTGCGAAGGAAGTCTGGAGTGAGGGAGAGCGTGGCGAAGCGCGCAAGGACAAAGCGGTCGATGAAGGTGTCGAGTCGCTCCAGGCTGTAGAGCTGGGCCAGCTCCTGCAGGTACAGGTAGTTGTCCTCGCTCACCTCCCTCTCCAGGTACTGGCAGCAGAAATCCACCGCTCGCCACACCTGAACAGCAGCAGGATTTTTACATTTCACATGTCCCCTTAAAGAACAACTGGTTTGTTTCCATCAGGAGGAATTATACTGTTGTTGTTTTTTATTTCCAAACAAATGAACACTATTTTTACCTCTTATTAATTATCTATAACCACTATATAAACAATGAATCACTGCTTCATAACATGCTGGTTATTAACAGGACATTCTTTAAATCCTCATACTATAAAGTGTATAAACAGTTAATTAACGCATGATAACATACAGAAGTTATAATCAAATATCATTATATATTCACAGCCGTTTTTAAAGCACCACAAACCCAGTTTTAAACCTCCTGTAAATGTGTAGTTACTTTTTTTCTGGGAACTTTTTCAAAATGACAAATCATTGCGACCCAATTCAAATCAGAGCAATTTTTTGCGTGAATGAAGGTTCCTGACCATCTTTACTGCCATTCCCACGTCACCTTTTATTATCTTGAATTGGTAAACCAGACATTTAGAAGAGATCGTTGGTTTAATACCTGTGTTATAGAAAACATATACACATGTTGAATACTTTATGAATGAGACCAAATAAATACATTCTGGCAGATTTATCTCATTAGGTTCAATGTTATAAGTAGACTGCAATTATGAGAACATTAAGGCTCCTTCATGTGGCTTAAAGGTGTACTGGTTATATAAATGTTAAATAAAGCACTATGGGGGCTAATTTATTTGGCGACCCTAATAAAATCTCCTGCGACCCACTTGTGGGTCCCAACCCAGTGTTTGGAAATGAGTGCTTTATAAAACGCCTTAAAATAAATTTCTTAAAATGTATATTCAATACAAACTATTTTAGACACTGTAGTATGTGCATGAATAAATGCTTGATAATACAACTGAAAGACTATGAAGGAATGACAAACATTTGCCAACATTCTTCACCACAGCCCTTTTTGGCGTATCTATGGCAGCTGGTTCAATTTCAACTTCTATCTTTTACATATGCGTAATAAGATGACGCACCCTAGTTCATCTATATATTTACTATCATGTGCTGAACAGTGTCTCACCTGCAGAAGGTGGGCAGCTTCCAGCACATGGTCAATATTTCCTCCATCCAATGGCAGCTCTCCGCTGTACAGGAAGTCAACAACAGCATTCAGACCGATGTAGGACACCCCGACCAGCTCAACCTGCAGACAGGAAGAGGACAGCGGAGGTTAATCAGGCGTTGGACATTTAAGAACGTCCGTCCGTCCCCCGGTGCATCGTCCTACGGTGCGTTTACCTCCTCCTGGCGTTGCTCCCTCATGCCCAGGGTGAACATGGCGTGGAAGTACGGGCTGGAGACGGCCAACAGGGCTCGGTGAGCGGGAACCCGCTGGTTGTCCGCCACCAGCACCACGTCGCAGAACTGGCCGTGCTGCCGCTGCTCGTCGAGGCCCCGCAACACCTCTACAGCTTGGTCCACCCAGTGGAACATCTGCCAACACAGCGCGGTTTACAGTACACACAAAACATACTGTGTGTAAAAATGTTTAGCTTTTTTTCTGCTCAGTTAAGTTGGTTCATCTTCTGCTTAAATCTGAAAGTTCAGTTCAGTCAATCAGTCTTTCCTCGAGTCCTGACTTAACATGCTGCATAGCCCTGCCTCAACAGTCCTCGCCTCCAACTCCTCTGTTGCGTTTATTAAATAATGCTGGAAGGGAGGGTTTTATTCAGGCGGCAACCTCCGTGTCTAAAACGTGGAGCCAATGCGGAAGTGCCTTAAATCTGCATACCTACTAATGGCCATCAGGGGGCGACTCTTCTGGTTGTATAGAAGTCTATGAGAAAATGACTCTACTTCTCTCTTGATTTATTACCTCAGTAAACATTGTAAACATGAGTTTATGGTCTCAATCTCTAGTTTGAAGTATTCTTCAATACAGCATGATGTTCATTTAGTAAGTTATTCAATTCAATATATTTTTGTATAGCCCTATATCACTAATCACAAATTCTCCTCAGAGCGCTTTACAATCTGTCCACATACGACATCCTCTGTCCCAGGACCCTCACAACAGGAAAAACTCCCCCAAAAAACCCTTTAACGTTGAGAAAAGATGAAGAAACCTTAGGGAGAGCAACAGAGGAGGATCCCCCTATCAGGATGGACAGGAGTGTGATCGATGTCGTGAGTGCAAGTTATGGTCCCGTTTAGAGTAAGAGTAGAACACAAAGCAGGGTATGCTTTGGGGGCGTGGCTACCTTGTGATTGCTACGATGACGTTGTCTGTGTTTTTGAACTTTAACCTTTCCACCGTTTTCTTTTTCTTTGGCCAAAAAAAAGTGTTGTTATTCAGCGTTTCATTGAACCTGACTCCAGCCTCTTGTGTCAATTGTTTTTTCCAAAAAACCAAGATGGTGACGGACAAAATGCCGAACTCGAGGCTTCTAAAAAAGGCCGTACCAATGGGTATTGTCACAGTGACTATGTCCACTTCTTTTATAAAGTTTATGGATTTGACGAGTTGGTGGGTGGTCATTTTTCGGAACGTAAAGTTCTTAAAGAGAGAAGCCATCTTATTTCTTTAAGCTGTATTGTTGATCGTATAATGCAATGCATATAATTATTAGATCTCAAGGACACACACAATGAGTTTTGGTGAGAAACACTGAATGTAAACACAACTGAGTTTGCTTACAAGACAACTCCACGGGGGTACCTTGAAGTATCAGTGCTTCTTGCAACAAATTGCGCAAAAATAAAAGTTAAGTGTTCTCAAATGTTGATGGAACACTCACAAAGACATCCACATTTACACACTATTGACGCCTGACTGCTGAGATTCTGGTGTGTCTTTTAAGTCATTTAATAATGTGGCCAATGGAGGAGATGAGTAAAAGCTTCTTGTTTACATTCATATGTGTGTCAGAGTCTGACTGACACACATCACACACACTGACCTTGGACGATTCACTGATCCGCTGGGGCCGAAACACACGTATCGGTTTGCCATTGTCCATTATGTTCCCTCAAGCAGGCATCATCTAAAGGAGACACACACAAACAGAGACACAAACACGCACCCACACACATTGTAAAAATAGTGTGTAAGATCTTCCCTCACCAATTGTGCCCCATCCCTAGCACTAAATGAATCCTCCACAGACGTGAGAACCAGAAAAGCCATGTATCCTAACTTAGTAACTGGACGAGCCCCTACTGTCCCCACGCTTCTATGTTCCTCATACTGTCATACTGTTAGCTAAAAAACACAACAGTCAAACCGTCAATGACAAGAAACTACATTAAGTTATGTCACTTTCTGATTCAAACCCTAAAAAAGCTCCTATTGTTATGAACTGACAAGTGCTGACATTTAGAATGATCGTGGAGCAGACGACATCCGCGTGCACCGTGATGCTGCCAACAGCATCTCTCGTTCCCTCAGTTGAGCACCAGAAGGAGACGCAGTCGCCTTTTTATTTTGGAGGAAACGATAAACACGCGTTTTTCAACGACGGCACAAACTGGACCGCTTGGTACAAACAGTCTCTTGTAACAAACTCACTTCGCAGAGAGACATATTCCCCAAAACTACCACGGAAAGAGCTGAAGAATGTAGCAGCATTTTCAGCTAGCCTGAATAAACATATAGACTTCCGGCTTAGGTTTTCAAAATAAACTAATTTGTCCTTTATCACTCCTTGAAACATTGTTTTGCTGCAGCCATGGTACGTTAACGTGAATAAATGACACTACTGACAGGAACCAATGGTCTCTCAAAAATGTAAATGTTTATGGAATTTTCACTTGGAAATGTCATCACTTCATTATTTTTGCCCTTTTATTTTGAAGCCAAAACCTTTCAAGCCGATGTTGTGAGTGACACCAGCCAGGTAACGAGATCTGGCTTTAAAATACATACAGGAAACAAGATGCTCCTAATGGACCAATCACAATTAGGTCTGTGCGAGTACGTTCAAGACACCAATGTCCCTGAACATTTTTAAAGGCATTTAACCCATGCTAAATACTGGGAAGTAGGCCATAATAAAGTTGGATGTTGGGGTGCATTTTGTGAATTTTTTGTGAATGTAAATAGAACTAGAGGACCATCTTGCGATGGAGTCGCACCACCCGCGAATTGAGCCAGGAGCACTTGGCCTTCACCTGGATCTCAACTACAGGCCTGTACAGTTTTGTGATGCCAAAATCGGGCCAGGGGCGTAAAGTTGGTGGTCCAATGGCCCCCTCGCTCCCCTTGATATGACTTTGATCTTATAACTCAATGTTCATTTTGATCTCAACTATACAACTGTAAAGTTTCATGACTACATCTCGCATCGCGGTAACAATATCTGTCCACAGACGGATATATAAACACAGACTCACAAGATAGAAAAAATACCACTGTCAGAATACTAATGTCACGATGAAAGAGATGAAGATTTCAACATTTAAGATAAAACAAACCCATGAAAGAATACAACTTACATTTTTTAAAACTATTTTAAAAATGTCAAAGGGGGGCAAAGGGGAAAAAAGTGGCATATTCCCCTTCAACCCAAATTTAAAAAAGAGTGCTTGAATTGTGGCTCTTTCAACATTGTATGTGGAACAAGTGGAACAGCAAACTGAGCTGCAGCAAATCAAAGTCAACTGGCAGAACATGTGAAATAAAATAGAATCTGAACGGGAGCCAAATCAAAATGCAGAGTCATGATGAACTAGAGATCGAGAGAGGGGTCACGATGATGAAAACCAACAGAGGAGCACATCTGTAATCACTTAGACATTGAAATGGAGATACATTTTCTCTCTGCAAATTATAAAACCACTGAAAATGAATATGATGAATGCTTTGAAAAAGGTTTTCCAGGCTTTCAGGCCTGGAAAACGAGGATAATGAAAAGAAACCCTATTGACAGAGAAATAACATATCAACATCTATCTTTAATTAAAGACATAAACATTTATTATGTAGCAGTAGCCTATAAAATATATAATGTAAAGTAACCTTGCCTGCTACATTTTACTTAACAACAATCAAACATGGATTATGATCAAGTGCACTGTTAACAATTCTATACCTATATAACCAGACGGTACCATTAACACCTGAGTCATTGGCACTGCTTTGCTAGGAGCAGGTGGGGTGTGATGGGTTGTTGGTGGACCAGCAGGTGGCGGGGTGATGCAGCAACAGACAACCCAGAGCGTAGAGCTCAGAGCTCAGGTAGGTGGTGGCCGTCCAGGGTCAGTCATCAGAGACCATGTGGAGCTGGTGGAATCAGTGGGCTTCTTCCAGGAGGAGGGAAGACGTGTTTAGCCTCTGTGCTGTCTGCCTGCTGTACTGGCCGATACCATACAGTACTTCATGTAGTACTTCTTATAATCCACATACACATGCAACCCCTGCCCTGCTGACAGATACACTGTATTGTATAGTTGTGTATAGCTTGCATTGTATTTAAGTGTAGAGTTGCCACACTTTGTGGTAGGCCTACACTGTTCAGAATGTTGTAATGAATAGCATATTGCAATATTTGATGTAGTACAGTACTGTACAGTTATGTTCTGCATAACATAGAATATGAGGGTGCTTGTATTTCAAATTAATTGGCCCTCGAGGACAAAACCTTATTCCTGAAATGAAACTATTGAAACACAATTGGTGGATTTCAATACCGCCGCACTAGGCAAGTTAAACCATTTAGCCCAAATGAAACCGGAGGTTTACTGTTTTACCTTCAGAATAAAGCAGAGACGTGTCTCACTAAAAAAGAATAATCAAGTATTATGCATTTTCTTGCGTTTCTTGATTTTTTTTTACCTTTACCTTTCCTCTTGTTTCCTGACAGCACAACTGACATCTCAACCCCTCTGTCTTTCCCCATTTCCCTGCCTTTTCTCTGTTCAAATGGCTAGAAAAAATAATCAATACAATGAAGACCATTCAGTGTAACCAGCCGCAAAGGAAGATCAAATTTCATGCTGTTAATAGTGAGTATGTTTGTTTTTATGTTGTTTGTATTGGCTAATTATACTGGGTGTTTTCTGTCTGAAAACAGATCGCTGTAGATGTAGTACATTCATGAAACAAAACTGGATCACAATATCATGTAAAACAAATCATTTCTCCACTTTCATCTCCCTAACAGATCAAATATATAGCAAATGTAGCAAAATTAGGAATGGTTTATGAGGATAATACACTGTTTAATTCATGAGAAATCCTATTTTTAAAAGGAAATTGAAAGTCACTGCTGGTGAAGAAAATAATGACAGCGAAATGTATCTTTGGATTTATATACATTTTTGTGAATAAATATAATATCACAACAGTGTTTTAGCTGCAGCCGTTCCCTTCAATACTTGTTTCACTTTATTTTGAAAGTCCTTACCGGAAAATGTAGTCGTACGCTGTGTGGGCCTTGACAGAGGCCCTCATACCATTGACCATTCACAGGGAGAAGGTGAATCCAGCGTTTGAGGGACTACTCTGCTGGCAACCTGATCGACTAGCATCACCAACGCCCATAAAGTAGCGATATACAGGAAATAAACCTCGCTGCTAGAAGAAGAGCCGTCTCTCTCCGCTACATCCTACCGGCTCAGTCGTTCCAGTGCGGTGGTCGTGATTTTGGAGTGAAGCCTATCATATACCGTTATCAGTTATAGTACTCTAATGTATAGCATCAACTGTATAAGTTAGCTGCTTTTTAATACTGTGCTAGCTAGCTCTCCCTGGTTTGGACTGATACAACGGCGACCTCGACTGTTTTGACTCCTATCTAACGTTATACGAAAAATGGCAACCCAAATCGATAAAGAGGCTTGCAGAGAGGCTTACAACCAAGTCAGAGACGATAACTCGGACACCATTTGGTGAGTGCGCGGACATGGATACTTCTCCATACTCCGTTAAATAATGGGACTATTCTAAATTTCCTTGCTTGAAAAAAAAAATCATACATGTAACCGTCGACCTCGTATGAATAATGAAAACTCACTAGCTATTAGTTACTTCGGCAGACATTCAATACAATAATTAATCCGTTTAAAAAAAATCTAATCTCCGTTAGAATTTTAATTCCCACAGCCTGTTACCGCCCACTGCGCCTTCTTTTCGGTGGCGAAGGGTGCTGAAATAAGACGCGGATCTTTTTTTAAATATAACTTCACATTCTATGTTGAATAAGCACAGTCTGGCTAACCAAACACGCGCCGAATGGACGATAGATTCATAAAGACATAGAAAATGCAATGCGCTGTTTTTTTTGTCGTGTGAACGTTTGCATTTAACCAAGGTAACTTTAAATTGCTCGATATTTTAAAGCAGTTCCACCCGCTCACTCCGAATACGCGCTAGAACGGCACACCGGAGGGGGTTTGCCCCGCAACTCAATCCTTCGCGAATTGTTTCAAACTGGAATCGACGCCATAATTCAAACGGCTTAGGCTTGTAACAATATTTGGCTCAAACGGCATACAGTCAGCAATTATGGTCCCGTACTATATAGCTGATCCGATCTAGCTGATCTGTATTCAGTACTAGCGGCCACACACTGCACAGTTATCAGGCCCCGGTGGGGCAGAAGTAATTTCCTTTGTCCTGTATTCTGAGAGGATAACGTTATAGTAGTGACACATGCACATGGCTGACACACAGCCCCCCCACCACCACCACTACCCTGCATTGAGTGTATTTGGAGCAATCTGTGTGCATTGCTCCAGTCTGCAAAAAAATGGGCCCCAATGTGCGCAACAATGTTGAGAATGAATAGATCGTGAGACTGGATGGTGATAAATAACGCACGGTGTGTTGTGCATCCTCCAGGGCCGTGTTTAAATACGAGGGCACCAGGATCCTGCCTGCAGGACAAGGGACGGACTATGAGGACTTCAAGAGCATGTGCACAGGTAAGGAGGGTATCCTATTATGAATGTCCCACCCTAGTTGTCAACCAAGCATTGCCGGTGTAATGCGTCCTCCCTGCTGCTGGCTAGTCTACATTTTGTGGTGTGTGTGTGTGTGTGTGTGTGTGTGCGCGCGCGGAGTCGCGCGCGCGGCTTTGTCTCCGGACGGGTTAAACGGCCTGCTGGATGTGCCACACAGCTTGACTTGGCAGGACACTAATCTTTTAAGACTCTCTGTGCTCTGTCACACATTGGCCTTGAGTCCTGTAGCCTAACAACACTGTCAAAGCACTTAGCACTGTATGCGTTGCGTAATCTCTTCCATAATATCCTGCAGGTTTTTTTTTCTTTTTTACAAGGTGAAACACTTAATTAAGGTCAATCTTTTTTATGTTGTTTTCCTGAATTACTACAGAAAGACATAGAAACTTTGAGTTTTCTAACTAGTCAGCGTTCATGTTCAACTGTCGCTTCTTTTGAGTTAAATAATGCTCCAGAATCCTCTACATGCAGCTGAATATAAAACAATGCATGATAAAAAGTAGTTTTGAGTTATTTTCTGATTGTGTGTGTGCTTTGAATGAATGCTCAGTTATTACTAGTACCTCTGTCTGCATGGAGCCCATTTCTGTTCATCACAAAAAAGCCTCTAGAGTAAAGCATCTGCTCTGATGTTGGGTGTGGCTGTTTCTGATGCTTGCTCGGGTTGTCTTTTAAAGATTACTGCTTCGGGGCTGTACTCTTTTTATTTATTTATTTTTTGCTTCCTGACATTTCAGAGCTAACATTCCTATGTTGAAACAACTCATTTATTACCACGCTTTACGACCACTCCGCCGGTGCGTATGCCGTCGGTTCCTGTTCGGAGATGACACACACATATACACACACACACACACACACACACACACACACATTATCAGACATCTTTCTGTCCGTGGGCTTGTTTTCCTTATTTAGCAGTAAATTAACTCTGCAGAAGAAAAAACAAAACAAGGCTCTGAGTGTAGGAGGAGCCGATGCAGACTGCTCGTCTACCGAGGCTTGAAGAGGAGGGCCCCTATTGCATAGTGATCTTCAAGTCATCCAACTGCAGAAGGGAGAGGGAGGTGAATTCTGTTGTGCACAAGTTGAGTCAATGCAAGAAGACGGATATGACTGCATGCAGGGCAGGGAAAGTTCTAAATCCTTACATGTAATTAGAATTGCCACCAGGCAAACACAATTTCTGCTGATAAAATATAGCAACAACCAATAACTTATTTAGTCACTGTCATGAATTATTCATTGTAGGTCACCAAACTATCAGCTTATGGGAAATCCCGTCCTGAATGTCTCCTGACGGGAAGGCACGGCTCTAGGGATGGCAGTGTTCGGTCCTTTGTCCAGGCTGAATTTCCTCGACAAATATTGGATGTGCTGTTACTGCTGAATTAGTTTCATTATCCTCAGAAGATGAATCCTAATGACTTCGATGAGCCCAGCAGGTAGAAGTTTCCACTAATATCCAGTGGATGGATTGGGGCAGAATCTGATTAGTAGATGATGTCTTGTGTACAAATTTGACATTTTGTCCTGAGGTTGGCTAAAAAGAGAAGCTGGTAGAGTGTTCAAAATACAAATTCTCTATTCTCTGGGGAGCATGAATCGCTCTGTAGCTTTAATGGTAATATCTGTTTGTTAGAATTTTAGATTTTTTTGTGTACAAGTGAAAATCTTGGCCCAATGGTGTCACGAGAGGAACGGTCAGAAGGTCACCCAAAACAGTGGAACTCCTCTACTAAGGACCCTAGATATAAAAGATCTGGGTGTCAACAAAGTGATTAGGATTCATCCTTTGGGAACTCTGCACCAAATGATGACTGGCTTCACCGTCCTCGGGCGCTGCTCTTAAGCGAAGATCAAAGGCAAGACCAAATTTGGACTCAGTTGACATGTTGGTAACACCACTCCTCTCCGAACCCACCTGACAGTATCCACAGGAGACAGCTCTAGTTTCCTGGCTGTCTGTCGCAGAGGGACCGAGCGTGGGCTCGGAGAGCGAACACAGGAAGACACGGTGTCACCCGCCCAACCTTCGGTGTGCCAAAATGAGGTCATTTTATGCAGCGCAACGTGTCTGCCGGCAAGTCTTTTTTTGCTGTCTCATTATTTTTGTCGTTTCAGTGCAGTTTTCTCTGCAGCAGGAGGTGGGGTGGGGGTGGGGTGGGTGGGGGGGGGGAGAAGCTGTCTGCAGAGAAAACTGCAGAGTCAGCATGGCTTCGAAGGAAAGACAAACCAGGAAACAAGAGTGAGGAAGTGTATGTTTGCACTAGTTCCTCTGGCATCTCAAACGGTGACAATGACAGTTAAGACAAAGGGTCACGGAATTGACTTAGCTGAATCAGGTGTGTGTGTGTGTGTGTGTGTGTGTGTGTGTGTGTGTGTGTGTGTGTGTGTGTGTGTGTGTGTGTGTGTGTGTGTGTTGCTCTGGGCAAGGTGTGGGAACTAGTGACATCCTTTGTGGCCGCACTGATAAGACTCTTTTATAGTGGCTGCTCCTGTTAATGTGCAGCCGGTCTGATCAGAACAGTGCGACTGAGGCTCTGCCAAGAAAGTCTCAAATCAGCTGCTTCAACAGGTACATAAAGATAGTACAGGTCGCACTGTGTGAACTCTTAGTGGCATCCATGTAAAATCAACTGAGCATTTAAGTGTAACTACATTTCAAATTAGCGTCAAATCAAATCTTGGCCTTTCGTTGCTATCAGTGGCACACTGATAGCAACTGTACTGCTGGTACAGTCGGAACCAGATAACGCTGCACAATGGTGAATTGAGTTGTTTCAATCAATTGAACAATCAATCAAGTTTTATTGATATAGCACCTTTCAAACAATTTAAATGCAATTCAAAGTGCTTTACAAATGATTGACAAGAGGAAAACAAGACTACATAGCACACCAAATTACATTAAGAAAAAATAAATGTTTGACTGTGAAGTGAAAAGTCTAAGCTGTTAACGTCACAAAAGAATGTGCAAATTGGTTCAGCGGACAAAGAACCAGATGAACCGGAAACCAAAAAACTAAAAGGATGATTTGTGAAGTCTTGGGAGTTTTCCCTCCATCTTTGAGAATTATACTACGAAGCGTGTTCAACACCTCGATAAGCCATCCATTGACAGGCCGATGAACGCCGCCATTAGCCAGACTTTCATTATAACAGACGTATAACTGTATAGTGTTTTAATAACTGAAAATAGAAGATGACTGAAAATTGCAACCTTACTTTCAGTTTCAGCAACTAAAAAAGCTAAGGAAAAGTTAAGTTGAGCCCTGCCTCCAGCTAATGTGTCCCAGTCCGGGGGATGGGACGCTGTTCACTGTTGATGCTCCAGGATGATGTTTCATAAAAAATGCTGCCTGGTGGGACCATAGATTATGTAAGAAGTGGACCTAGTCATCGTGACGTCACCCTTTGGTTTGTGGACTGATGTTTTGAAGCTTCGAATTCGGCATTTTTGCCGTCGGAATCTTGGATTACGGCCGGCGCCATGTTGTATTTTTGTAACCAATGAACAGAAGTTACCATATTTAGACTGTGGAGGGGTGACTTGGAGACGCCGTATACGTCTCTGATAGTGACAGCGACCTGTCAATCACAGTAAGCCCGCCCTAAAAGATAAGTGCAGGGAAATCGACGTTTGGTAATTTATTGATAAAGGCACATGCTTTTATCAGTCATTGGCCTTTATAGATCTTCAGTGCGTCATAAATCGATTCACTTCCAGAATTTGTATGTTGTTTATCCAGTAAGGATGTTAATTCCAGATGTAAACTGTCACGGCTGATGCAGGCGGCACGAGCAGGGAGCTTCAGAGCCTGGCAGATTCAATAAAGATACTTTGACTCAAACAGAAGTCTTCCAGGTTTCTAACAGGCAGGTAGATAACGGATGAACAAAACTCCATTAGGCAACCCAGCTGAGCCCCTCTAGTCTGAGTCCTGTTAACTTACTGATGATGAAAACCCAACATTTCTTGATTTTGTTGCTTCAAAGTAATAGCTTTCTAAATAACGACATAACGGGGGGACTTATATTGCGAGGAATTTGTAGGAAAATGCGTTAATCATCAAATCAGCTGAGCTTTGTTAGTGGCTATCTCACCTGGAACGAATTTCTTCAAATTTGGTACACATGTGCACCTGGACTCAAGGAATAAACCATTAGAATTTGATGGTCAAATGTCACTGTGTCCTCACAAAACACCTTTTTGGACAAACATGGATGTAAACTGCAACTTGACTGGTTGACGGAGGCATTTGTACCTCTGGTTTAGACCGTGTCCGACACAGTGGAAGTTTTTCATTTTAACTTAGACTGTCGGGCGTGAAACTTGCTGCCTCAGCAATTGTCTGCCAGCAGGACAGAGAGTAGTGCATTTTCTGCCTTCCAGTGTGCCGGATGTTAGATCATGGGATGTCGAGTGCAGGACCTAAATAGAGGGCTTATTCCATTTATTGTACGTCGTTAGCCATTTGCAGAAAGCAACTGTGCCCTGCTGGTTACTGCTGCGGAATATCTTTTTCCGGAATCATCGGAATGTTGAATTTGTTGGCAATGTTTTGCCAGTAGCATAGATTATTGGCTTCACAAACACGGGAAAAGCCAGCATCACTACTAATAGAACGTAAAGTGCTGTTTGTTAGCATTGAAGATGTTTTTTATAACTTGGTATAAAACACTACTAATGAAGGATGTAAAGAGTCCTAGTGGTAGCTGTAGTCTAATATTATAACAGATATTTAGGCTTTGTCTTTGTTCTGGTGACCATTGCCTTGACATGAAGACCACTTTTTTATTGTATGAACCAATGTTCAATATTTTCAAAAACCTCTTAAAACACAAAAGTTTAATTTGTCTTCAACTACATTATTAATATTTGTTCCTAAAGTGTACTGAAGTAACATATCACATGACATTGTTAGGATAGTTTTGAGACTGAGAACATGACCACTGATATACTAAATATCTTGTAAATCAATTTAATCCTATTTGAAAATATCTTTTACACAACAGGTAGATTTCCTCATGTTTGTGATGCATTTACAAATTAATTTAAAAAAAGAATTGTATTTTAAGTAGTCTCCCCTCACATTTTTACAGCCTATCCTTTTTGTATAATTATTTTGTTTATTTCACTTCCCAATTTAAATGATTTGCTTTTATCAGTGTGCCTTTTTGTGGCATGTCATGTTCTTAGATGTATTATAATAAGCCTTTATAAATATCGTCCAGCCATAAACAGACTGTTCTGATTGTACAAATGACAGAAATCCATGAGTGCAACTCTTGTTAAAAAGATCATTTCTGTGAAGACACCCATCAGAGTTTTGCCGAGAGCTGAAAGGCGGGACAAGGTTTGACCATCTCGCAAATCTCTGTGCAGGAAAAAAATCCAGTCAATGTCATATTTCACATACAGGGAATACAGTCTTTGCAGTTTGAGATGTTCATATACGGCATGATGTTCATTTAGTAAATTATGGTCCATTTAGAGTCAAATAGGCCATAAAGCAGGGTATGCTTTAGGGCGAGCTTACTGTGATTGACAGGCCGCTACCAGAGACGTGTACTGTGTCTCGACGTCGCTCCTCCGCATTCCAAATATGGTCACGTCTGTTCATTGGCTGCAAAAAAACCAACATGGCCGTAATCCAAGATGGCGACGGCAAAATCGCCGAACTCGAGGCTTCATAACATCAGTCCACAAACCAATGAGTGACGTCACGATAACTACGTCCAGTTCTTATATAGAGTTAACTTCAAAATATAGGAAGGAAACACAAGAAGCAAGGAAAAGGGAGACCAAAGCACAAATTTCTCTGAAAAACAGAAAGATGCAACACAGTCCAGTCTCCAGATATAAAGTGTGACAACAGACTGTGACAACAATAGCATCAACAGCCAATTTAAATCAGTGCTGATATAAATCTGGGCCGAATGTGGCTCAGTTGTCCTATAATCTGAGGATCGTTGGTTCGATCCCCGGCTCCGCTAGTCCTTGTTGATGCCTCCTTGGGCAAGACACTTAACACCAAGTTGCTCCTGTAGCTGTGCCTACGTTGTGTAAATGTTGTGTGAATGTTAGTTAGTCCTGATGGGCAGGTGGCACCTTGAATGGTAGCTCCTGTCATCAGTGTATGAATGGGTGTGAATGGGTGAATGATGACATGTAGTGTTAAAACGCTTTGAGTGGTCGGAAGACTAGAAAAGTGCAATACAAGTCCATTTACCATTATTAGGCTATATAAATATATTTAGAATTATATTCTATCTATCAAATAAGATAATTTCAACATAATTATGAACTGTCATTTATTTTTGCTTCAAGGTTCTGAAATATACAATCCATTATTGAAAACTTATTGAAAAGGTTTGGATAACAGCTGGACCAATCGTAAACTGTGTTTGTACCCAAGACAAAATCCCAAATAAAAGGAAATTGGGGAACGTGGCAAGTTTTCCTAAATCACTCGTACAAGCCACTTAAGAACCAATCCGTTCGTAGCAGTGGTTGTTGCATAAGGCCCATTGTTTGGGTTCAATAGGATTTAGAGGCCCGAAGAGGTACAAGTCGGGAAGAGAAAGCAGCACAAATGTGTCAGCGTTTGCTGCACGTTCTTCACAGACAGCCGGCTTCTGCAGTGGACCACCGTGACAGTGACGGGCGTGGTCACTGGGACAAAACTGCAAGGCTCACAAAATATTTTATTCATTTAGTCTGTTGACCTGAATATTTCCTCAGTGCACACACACACACACACACTTCACTCAGTCTGGGGCTGTTGGGACTCTGCCAGTGCAGTGGAATTACAAAAAAGCAGAACCTTTGTATTCATCTGCACTGCAACACTGCAACTCTTTTTACTCACTCTCTTTGTCTGTCCTACACACACACACACACACACACACACGCACACGCACACGCACACACACACAGGATGTACAAACATTGTCCCACTGAGGTGTGATGAAAGTGTGTCACATTTTTTAAATATCAGCTGCAATGTTGAGTCTTAACATGGCCTTGTTCTATCTCCTCCCTCAGATGACGCCCGTCTGTTCGCCTTCGTCCGGATCACGATGGGGGACGCCATGAGCAAACGGGCCAAGTTCACCCTCATCACCTGGATCGGGGAGAACATCGGCGGGCTGCAGCGCGCCAAGATCAGCACCGACAAGGCGCTGGTCAAAGAGATCGTGCAGGTCAGAGACTCCGCGGGTGTCTCATGTGGAGGAAGTGGCTGTTATGACAGTAATGGCTGTTATCATGAGAGTGAAGCTGTAATGGGTCCCTTTTGGTAAACTGGTCGGTTACAGAGGCAAAATGACAACAGAGGGCTGCATAAGGTCTTAAAAGATAATATGAAAAAGTCCAAAATAATGAGAAACATTTAGCAGCTATGTGCGCTTTATATTTACTTGTTAAAGCTACACATTGACATTGGAGGGGGAAAAAAGTGAGAGTCAATGTTGTACTTGCAGTCTGAGGTGGAAACCCGATTCCAAATGAATGCTAATGTTGCTCTGTGTCAGCTGGACGTGTAAACAACATGAAAACATGCAGCACAATGCAGCTTTGAAGGTACCCTGTGGAGGACTGCTGCATAGTGCTACCAGTGCTCAAATGCTCCACGTGGTTCCTTTAATGTGTTAACTTGTGCTCAACTAAGCAGCCATGCTGTTATACCCTGGCCTGGAGGACAAAGAACAGTTTCTTTGTCCTACGGAATTTATTGCCAAAGAATTGTCTCAAGAAGATCAGTATTTATATCACCTGTTGTAAATTATTATGTATCAAACTAAGAGCTGACAGTTGGCAAGCTCACTTGCTTGGAGAGCCCCTTCATCAACTCTTTATTGAATGAAATGTTAAAGACACAATGCAGTGGCTTAATAACCGGCCCTGGACAGACATAATATCCCAGCCTTTCATGTAAAACTCAAATTCACAGCACTCTTCCTTAACCATAAACATAACAATAGTCAACATGCTAGGGCTTTGCTTTAACGATTAGCGCTAGACCAGGGGTCACCAACCTTTTTGAAACCGAGAGCTACTTCAATACTGAGCAGTATGAAGGGCTACTTGTTTGATACAAACTTCCTCAATAACAAAATTGCACAGATCACCTTTTAATAATAATAATAATATATGTGAAGAGACTGTCTGATCACATGTCAATGTTAATTATTCCTCACAATAATTATTAACAATGATTTCCACAACAATGATGGTAGTAAACAGATATATTTAAACATGTAACATGTATTTGTTAATCTGTTTCAACACTTGAAAGTCAGACTGTAACATTTTTGAACAAATCATGAACTCTGTCCCATGTTTATACAAATTATCAGTTATGTAAGATGAAAAAAATCAACTCTTTTACATTTTTAAATGAATCCTATTACATTAGCACTAATCACCAAATCTGTAGCATTTTTAACAAATCAAAATCTTTGAAGACACTTTTTGAACATATTGCTTTTTGAGTGTTGTGTGTTTAATGTTGTCATGGTGTTTTCAATGAAAACATGATTTTATCTCTTTCTTTGTCTGTAAATGTCGGTGGGAAACCTGGCATTGCATACCGTTTACCAATGCACTGTAATCTGGTGTATAATTAGACACTGCAGCTCTGAGTGAGTCTTGTAGATGTGCATCAGTAAGGCGTGTTCTGTGTTTCTTCTTGATGAAGTTCATGTCAGAAAAGGCTGATTCACGGAGATAGGTTGAACCAAAAAGGCAGGCAACTTTCATAGCTGCTGTGCATACACCTTTGTATTTTTCTGTGTCCACAAGGCACCAAAAGTTTGGTGCAGACTGATGGGCTTTGAGGTGGAGGTCATTTTGCAACATTACGATTTCAATCTCCAACTGTCCAGCATCCAAGTTGAAGCACTTAGTTGCTCAGCAATGCATGTCATGTCCACTTGCATGAAAGGATTTGAAACGAATGACACACATGGCTCAAGTTGATCAAAGTCACGAAACCTGTTCTCAAACTCTTGCCCTAGTCTGTTTATGACTTGAGAGGACTGTTCTACAGCTTTGTCAAAAGCCCCAGATGCTGAAGCATTGTCATTCAACACTGACTGTACGGAGGGAAAGTGCAGCACTTTGTTTCTCTGTAAATGCACAGAGAAATGTGCATCTTAGCTTTAAATGCGTTTACAGCACTTATCATGTCAGCAACAGTTTTACCTTTGCCTTGCAGCTCACAGTTCAGATGGTTCAGTTTCCCAGTGATGTCCGTTAAAAATGCAGGGGCAAGGATCCAGTCAGTGTCCTCGAGCAGCGAGGCATCTTCCCCTTTGGATTGCATGAACTCTTTGATTTCACCCCAAAAGTGGCAAAATCAAAAAAAAATTCGTCCCCTGCTGAGCCATCGGATTTCTGTGTGTAGTAACAGGTCACCATATTCAGCTGAAAGCTCCTCCAATAGCACCTTGAATGTCCTGTGTTGTTTGGCTTTGGAGCGGATGCCATTTTTGATCTTCACGACAGGAGTCATAACATGATCAAAGCCGGTCACTTTTGCACATAGCGCCTGCTGGTGAATGATGCAGTGGTAATGGAGACATTTTGGGAAGTCTGGGTCACCTTTACATTGCGCAATGAAGCCTGCATGCCGGCCCGTCATGTCGGGAGCCCCGGCTGTTGTCACAGACACCAGCTTTTCTAACGGTACCTTTTTCTCCACAAAGAAACTCTTCACCGCGTTGTAGATGTCAATTCCCCTCGTTGTTGTCTTCAGGGGCAGAAGTGTCAGAACTTCTTCTTTTGTGGAGAAATCATCAAACACCATTCGGATAAACATCATCAGCTGAGCTGTACTGGTGCTGTCCACGGACTCATCGCACTGGATGCTAAACCACCTGCACTGAACCAGATCCCGGTCCAGTTGCTCCGTTAAGTTTTCGGATATAGCCGACACTCTTCTTACCATCGTACTCGCCCCCAGTTGGACATCAGAGAGAGCGGAGATGGCATCGGGACCATTATTCTCGTCTTTGAACACAGTGTTTGCAACAACTATCATCATTGCTTCTTTCAAGACCTCCCCGTCCGAAAAGGCTTTCTTGTTCCTCATCAAAAAATGTGCAGCTCTAAACTAAGCTTCAGTTGTTTGTTGTGATTTATCACCGGCCTCGTGAAAAAAAGCTGCCTTTAAGTCACGCGCTTTTTCTGTCCGTAGTGTGCTGCCAGGTGAGTAGTTAGCATGGAAGCTATTGTGACACGTACTGAAGTGTCTCTCCACATTGTGCCGCTTTTCCGTCGCAACAGTTGCCCCGCAAATGAGACGCACACATTTGTCTTTCACTGTCGTAAAAAAGAACTCTTCCTCCCAATCATTGTGAAAATAGTATGTTTTCTTTCGCTTTTGTGCCATGTTTTCTTTAGTTTGGGGGGTAAAAACCACATCTAGCTTCCCATCGTAGCTGCGCCAGCTTCCTTGTCTCAGCAGAGAGTGAGATGGCGATTTGACATGCGCACAATATTGAACTAAACATAAAACATTTTAGTTTTTAAAATGTTATATTAAATATTGTCATACATTAATGCAAGCGTTTTTGATTAAAAAAAGAACGGCAACTAAAAAATTTTAGACTGAGCTCCATGGTGACTAGTGCTATTTTTAGAACATGCCTTGCGGACGATTCGCGTGGTCCTTGCGGGCACCGTGTTGGCTACCTCTGCACTAGAGTTTAGTATAAGCCATTTAAAAGAGTAATGGCTATCATGAACAATAATTTAAAAACAATCAAATCTGACTAAATGTTAAAGTAACATAGACCAAGCCCAGCAGTTTATGTGGTGCTATGTTCTGTAACTGTAGCATGACATCATGGTGAAGTTATTAGCAAGCTAGCTAGCTAACAACCCAGCCACTAACTGAGCAAAATATAACAATATATGTCTTCGTCTACACACTCGTCACAGTGTGGGAAAGCACATTGCTATCGCCAAATAATTATTCACACCGATTCAAACGACTTTGTAATGGTCCAATAGCACAATTTAAAGTCAACAGAAAGGAGATAAAAGGCTAAATGATACACTGGTCACAGAAAATGAGCCAACGATAGACGATTCCTGACTGATGCACTCAGAAGTTTGTCATGATTTTCCAGAAAAAACATTTTTATATTTTTCGAAGCTATTAAAAGTATTGTTTTGCTATCCGTACAAAAATACTCATTGAATAATGTAAAACATCAGCCAGCCCTAATTAGTTTGGGTTGTTTCCATTCTGCTAAAAGTGAAAAGTAACTTTGGGTTTTCTGAACTCTTTTGTGTCCACAGAACTTTGCCAAGGAGTTCATGTTCAGTGACCCGAGGGAACTGGATGCAGACAACATCCGTACAGAGCTGAAGAAGGCCGGTGGAGCCAACTATGACGCTCAGGCCGAGTAGAGAAGTGCCATGGTCCACTGGAAGGGTTGGGGGGGTCAGGGTGGGGGGTGGAGTAAGTGGGGGTGGAGGGGGGTTGGGGCAGGGGCGAGGCGGGATGGAGAGGGCGCTCGACAAAAGGGAAATGCACACACAAACGAATCCGAGGTGCACCAGGAGCAGTCTGTTGGACCAGTGTAAGTCTTTCTAATACTCAGCAAACGCCGTTCATGCTGCCTAATACCAGCTTATTAGAAAACAGTAGTCTCTTTTTTTCCACTAATTTAACAGCTTACTAATTTACTCCCAACAACAGCTTCAGAACACCTCAGTGGGACTGTGGCTGCTGAGTGTATTTGCACAGTTCAGATGTTGTTGGTGCACCTCTAAATTATATGCATTAAGGCATTTATATACTGGATTTTAACAGCGTATGTAATCAGTATGTATCTGAGATGTGAAAAAAACCTTACACAGCACATCTGGGGGCAGATCAGGGCCAAATTGTCCCCCGGCCGACACTGGAATATATTCCTTGAGACCTTGTGATTTTGCACAATGTGATACCTTGGTATCACATGGTAACATGGTGACACTCAAGGATGTTTCCAAATTCATAAATGAAATTATGTCTTTACACGGCGGGGGCTTGACCAATAACAACACAAAAATTGAAAAGGAGTAATAAAATTGTCCACCTCGTTTTGGATTACGGAGCCACCATGTTGTTGTTGCATAAATAGAGGTGCAACTGAACTCGTTCCGCACAACGTGATTTATTTGTTTGCGGTGCGAAAGCTTCGAAAAATCACCCTCCTTCCGTAAAAAAATGATGCCAATTTTACACTTTGGTTTTTGTACCAATTAAACAAATGAGATGCAATGTGTTAATTAATGAGCATTAGCGGTGTTGGTAGGTTTTATGTCAGAGCCAGGCTAGCTTCTTCCCCCTATTTTTAGTCTTTGTGCTAAGCTAAGCTAACTGGAAGCTCTAGCTTCATGTTGAACGGACAGATATGAGAGTGGTATCTACCTTCCCATCTACCCACAAGAAACAGCAAGAAAGCAAATAAGACAATTGTGTACACTGACGAGTCCACACTGACATGTAACACTCATTGCTGAGGATTCGCTCAACCAACACTCGCAGAATATGACCTCACAAACGTGTCGGCGCTCTTACTGTCACAAACTAGCACTCTCCACTCCCAGCCTCGGCCCTCTCCCCAGTCAGCTCAATGTTGGTTATCTACTGTGCTGTGCATCAACATCTCACACTCATCCTCATCTCAGCTGGGCTGCAGTTGAGCAACGGGAAGTTGCATTAAAAGGCTTCAGCGCTGTTTGCTATGTAACGAGGATGAGTCTCATTTTTGGAAGGAAGCTCTTTACTTGCAGGCATGTGTTTGACAGCGGAGCATGCTCTTAGTCATGATACACTGTACCTCCAGGAGGAAAAGATCTCCACTCTAACAATATCCTTGACGATGGTCGGTGGCTGCTTTGAGTAATCCTGAGTCATGCTGCTAAGTACACATTTACCTACCACTTCATCAACCAGCCAGACAGCTGTGTTTGGATTGCAGCCTCAAAGTCGACCATTACGGACTGTAATTCACCCTCCTGTCTTCATACTTGTGCTTAGTGCTGTGAATCCCTCCTTATCACTAGTCCAAATGTGTCTTTTTTTCGTGAGTGATCATTTCCGGACCTGATTTCGATGCACTTTTTACTTTCTCATTCCAGTTTTTGTTGGACGTGATCAATGTTAGCTGCGGCAGAATTAGTAGAAGAGTACATGGCAAAGAATGGTCTGACTGGAAGCTTTCTGCCTGTCGATATTATGCCATAGGAATACAGAGAAACAGCTAATATATTGAGTCCTCGGCAGCAGTTATAGTCAAGTATTGAATGTTTTCCTAAAATCTCAAAGAATGGAGATCTTTTCCTCTGGTGTTTCATCTCACGATCTACCACTCAAAGGTGTCCATGCCTACTGTAACCTACTGTGTTTGACTGCCTTAGCCTCCCAGGGAGAGAGGGGCATCATGGGAGCTTGTGAACACTACACTGTGATTGGCTGTCGTTCTCACATGGGGGCGGGACTTTGATCTGCACATGGCTCATTGCGATGTGAGCCTGGGCTCATCAACCCTACCCAGGAGCAGCCATTTCTCGGTTGTAGCATCTCTTGTTTATTTGGTTTCAACCCTCTCTTCCCCCCTGCAAAAAACAAAAAAATGGATGTTTTTCTTGTACCTTTTTTTGTTTTTGAGATGAATTTTATTTTCTCTTAAGAGTTTTACCTTTTTGATTTTATTTTTAAGAGCATTGTTTTTGGTCATTGGCGGAAGAGATTTTCAAAAAAAAAATTATGTGGAAAAAAAAAAAAAACTGAGTGGGCACAAGATCAGTCATTTCAAAATAAAATTGATGTTTTTTCCAAAACCTGCTTCTCCAAGTGTCTTTTGTGTGTCTCTGAAGCTTACATTACCATGAATAGTAGGTCCTGAATTGGGTTGTGTCAAGTTACATGTTTTTCAGTTCAACATGTCATCTGTCATGTTGGAAGACATTGTAGAGCAGTCAAAGATCCCTCTGATTTGTTAGAAAATAAAAGGTGAATCAAAATAAATAACCCGTCTTGTAATCCTATAAGGTTTTCTACAACTGATTTCAAACTAAAATTAAAAACGAATATATTCAGAAATCATTTGTAAAATTTACTTTTTTGCGAAGGAAATCGGACATGAAAAGGAATTTTCAGCAGCTTGATGGGGGGGTGGTGCTGGCTGTTTATGACTAGTTGCAGCTACAGTGGTGTGTGTGTGTGTGTGTGTGTGTGTGTGTGTGTGTGTGGGTGGGTGGGAGGGGTGATGGAGGCCACAGCTCTGGGGAAGAAGCTGTTCCTCAGTCTGTACGTGTTTCTATTGTTCTGTACCTTCTCAACCGACAAACGGACTGTGACCTGGGTGAGTTGGGTCCTTGCTGATGTTGCTAGCCTTCTTGTGTAGACGGCTAGCACCGTGTCCAGAGTCGGGAGCTTGGTTCCTACGATCCTCTGTGCTGTCATACAGTGTGCCAGTCCTCAGCCCTCTGTTGTAGCCTAACCATTACTCCAGATCTCAGCTGCTATTGTGTTAGACCTCAATAAATGAATACATCACTTATTAAATGTTAGTCATTTCAGAAGCAACGTTATTACGTTACTTATTACTGTAATAATCAGAAGCTCTGGTGCAGTTTAGTTCTGTGTTTCTGCTACGCCGACATCCCACTCTTCCTTTCTGAAATTCAATTGTGGTGCGAATGATCGGATTAGTTGCACTCAGAGGATATTTCCCTTCACTGCCTTGTATTTATTCTCTGTATTCACCAAGATAGGTAAATACATCGCTGATAAGTGTGTTACCATTGAATACTGTTTCCTAAGGAATGAATCCACAGGCAGTAAAACTTCACATGGGCACGGCGAGTCAGTATGTCCACAGAGGACGGGCCCAGTGAGTGAAAAATCAAAGGCTGGACACTGATTTCCAATAAAGAAGGCCCGATTCGCTTGTTCTCGATGCCGATATGAGTGATGGCTGCTGGTCTGTATCGCGTAAGTCGATGGCCGCCAGCTGTTCAAACCCACACGCCATCGGCATGTGTGTTGTTCTGCTACAGCTGTCAGATGAATGGATTAATGGTTTTGTCGGCATGACTCAGCTATGATCAAACATGGCTTCTGCTGAGGCTGTGTGTGTGTGTGTGTGTGTGTGCGTGTCGGACTGGGTGGCTGCAGTGATCTATGAGGACTAATAGCAGGTTGCATAATGACAGAGCTCTGGTATCGCTCGCTGTGGCTTTAAGTAAGCTGTGAAGAAGTGAGGAGTTGAAGGGTTTGAGTTTAAGCTCATGGGAATTAAAGATATGTGTTTTAAGGGGTCATGTTAATGAGGTTCATTTGCTGTTTGGGGCATGGAGAAATAATTGAGCGTGCATCATTCCCTCTTTAATTTTGTTGTGCTCATGTTCCAAAGAATGAGGAACTACTTGGTACTGGATGCCAAAATCCACCTCCGAATATACACACAATATACTTTCTTTTCATTGATAAGAAACTACTCTCCAATTTGCTAAATAAAAGTGAGACAACGAGTGAACAGCCATGCTAAGTGCTCCACGAGGCTGTGCTTAAGCAGACGGTGCTTTGAGCTGACTGCACACATTCATGTAGCAGTGAGAAGTCGGATCATGACATTGGATAAAGATCACAGTGTACAGGAAACCCACTTGCACAGACCGGTATCTCAGTGGGTATTTCTTAACCCTAAGCACTACTTTACAACATAAAACATCCGCCCTCTGAACAGAGCAACATCTGGTCAGTGAGGGGTGGTTAATGAGCACAAGGAGGGGGATGATGCGAATGCAATCTAGATTTAAGACCAGGATAAACACTGCTAACTCAACTGGACCCCCAGGAGCATTCCAGTGGGTCTCCCTCCTGGGGCTTGGGCTGCCGGAAACATCTGGATCTGAAACAGCTGATGGCAATCAGATAATGTGATCCAATTTCAGTGCTCTGACTTGGATCCCAGATTGCTCTGACGTAATGCATGTGGCTGGCGTCGATAAACTCGTGAGATCGAGGTGCGGACAGAGCTTTTAGAGCCGAGTGCCGCAGTTGCTCTCCACCGACTGCAAGGCCCAGGGCATGATGGGAAACGCCTGGCTGTCGCCCGATCCAGCTGATTGGCTCCTCATTTCATAGATAATCCAAATTTTTTGTGTAATATCCAACGCTAGGATGAATTAGCTGTGACAAGAGTGTGTGTGGGAAAGATTAAACTGTGAAATTCCTACTCATATAGCTGCTTGCTATAGCTAGCTGGCTCGCTAATTTCACCATACCAAGATGCCTTTGAATTTTAATGGCATCTTATAGGTGCCCTACTGCCATATACTGGACCGGAGTGTGGAGCAGTAGATTGGTAGGGGAAAAAAACACCTAAATTCTCTATATTCTATTATTCCTGCACTCTTAAGCAATTTATTAAGAGATTGTCAACGTCAACAATTAGTCCTGATATTCATTCCCTCCTTGATCATACCTGTCGCAATCTATCAGTACATGTTTGACAGTCTCCACTTCATTACCGTGTGTGCATAGTAAAGAATGGTACTTGCATATTGCACATACATACTGTATATAGAAATTATTATTATAATTATTAAGAAAGAGGAAGGGAGAACTAAAACTTGAAGAGGCCACAGATTCATACTATAGGTCTTCCAGCCTCGTCTAGCCTCCCAATAACCCTTCTGAAAACCTCACCAACCTCAGTGTCACGCGTATGGTTCGACCCTTAAGACACCCCAACGCTATCATTTACCGTCTCAAGGGTCGAGAATGAACTTCCATGATCAAGTCTTATTGTGGTAAAACTTTAACTTATTATAGTTATTCATTTTCTAATATTTTTGTACAGGGATACTCATGTGGTACCTACACTGTGTGGAATTAAAACATCTCACAAGGAATTTCACAATTCAGTTAAGATCAACCATATTGTTGTAAGTTTCATATATTATTTTAGATCCATTCGGTTACAATAGGATTCATCTTTAGGCATCTTGACTCTTAAATTAATGCAGAAATGAGCTATAGCCCACTTAGACTTAAAGGATGTATTTTTATCATCCATGTCTTCATCTTCACATAGACAGCAACAACATTTCGAGGAGTTCTTTTTTTCGTTCATGTTCCCGATTCATAACATCACAACTTCCCTTAACCGTTTTCAATTCTGTGTTTGCCAGCTTTGTTCAATTGTTTTTGCTTGTTAAAATGCAGCAGTGACATTTTTAGATCCTTTTGACTAAATCACAAGTTGTGTCAAGTTTAACCGTGACTACTGCAACTTTCCGTGACTTCAACTAGACTGAACTTGGGATTTGTAATGGACATTAGATGTACAGTAGTCACCCCGATTGTATCATAGTTTCCATGTTTCTAGCACATTATAGAACTTAACCAGTGTTTGTGTGTGATGGTGAGTGCAAGAGAGAGAGAGAGAGAGAGAGAGAGAGAGAGAGAGAGAGAGAGAGA